CCATTTTGATCCAGCACCGAGACCACTGGCGGTGGATCGAATCTAGGGCAGGACACACATTGTGATCGCCGGCTCAGTTCTGGCATGTTCCGACATATCTTCCAGCACTGCAAGGAGGCCAACTTCCATCAGTAGACGTCTCACTTTGGCTGGAGATGCTAGGACCAAAACGACTCGCCCCCCCCCTCTCCCCCCCCCCACACTGCCAGCGCAAGAAAAACAGTGCCAGGCGTGCAGCCGGTCAACTCTGCCATGCAAGTGCCAACGCAACATGCAGCCGAGAAGCGGAACTCCTTCTACCACAGTCGATGGGACCCTTAATGCTGTCTGCTTTCAGGTGGAGCGCCCCATCCCAGCACTGCAAACAAGACATCTATGCCAAGCGACTTGGTAGACACCTCACAAAAGGCAACACTTGATGCAACACTTGAAGCAACTTGGGACAGGCGTGTGCAACTCTGCGAGCAACTCTACGCCAGCGTGCATCCACTGATTCTGCAGACTGCCGTGGGGTGTAGGACCGGGGCTAAAATAGATTATGCAATATATATATATATATATTTCATATATATATATAGTTTAGTATAATATATGGTATCATAAAAAATATGTAGTATAATATATAGTATATAGTTTATAGTATACAAGACTGAAGCCACAGATTTCCACGGCACCAGGCCGGGCCTGTACGGAAGTAGCTCTTGGGAAGATGAAGATGGGGTAGCGGAACTTCTCAACCGGCAAGGGGTAAAGGTTCCTGCACAGGATCGGCAGTACTCGGGGGTTCAGGGTGCTTCGTAAGCAATTATGAGTTGAACATTGGGTTATAAGTACAGTCATAATTGGGCTACTAAGTACCCTGAACCTCCAAGTAGGTGTCTGCCTTGACGTCACTGCAAGGGCAAAAAGCATCTGTAGTCACGCCAAGGCAATAGCATGCAACCATGGCCAGAAATATCGCGGGCATGCAGAACAAGCAAGAGGCAAAGCTCAGAAAGCGAGCTAACCAGCAGAATCAACAGCGAGAAGAAAGAGCGTAAGACCATCCAGAACCAGCAGAAGTGGAATAGATTACGCGAGCCAAACATACACAACACAAACAAAGATGAGAACATCAGATGCATGCACAGTCAATGCGTGTGGACCCCTTGCACCAAACATGTGTGCGGCGGGTTCCTTGGAGAATACACTGGGTCGCTCCATGGAAAGAAAACCAGGGCGCTGTCCGAAAACACGATGTTCACGTGGTCTACCTGCGACATTAACCCTTGCAGTGTACAGATGGTTTTGCTGGCCTCACTTCGCGCACTGCGCTGCATCCTAGGCGCATTGGTGCTGTTGACACCCAGGCATGTGAATTGAGCCTGAGGGTTGAGAGAGACACAACTCCGAGGGTCATCACACGCAATGATGCCTGAAATTGCCTGAACACTGAGCCGGCAGCGATGCCACGTGCATCTGATGGCTCCGATTCGGGGCAGTTCCTTCAGCCGATGCAGGCTCAGGTTGGGGCCAGGTCCCGCTGCACGAGCAGAATAGGAGATACATTATTATTATTAATAATATTAGTAGTAGTATGAGTACACATATTATTGCAATTATTGCTATCATTATTATTATTTCTTTTAATTTTATTTTTAAGGGTATTCAAAGAACCACTCACCGCCAAGCAGGGCCAAGCATCAACTCCACCACCTGCGAGGAGATGGGCGCAAGAGAATGTGGCAGCTCAGTGTTGCTCCATCTTGCGACCCGTGCCTTCTGCCCACGTCTTTCATAGCGTTCAACACGGGAAGCATCTCCGGAAGGTGGCCACGCGGGGTCGGGATTCGCAAAGGCCACGATCTCGGCATCAGCAGAGAGGGAGAGAGGGAGAGAGGGAGGGAGGGAGAGGGAGAGAGAGAGAGAGCGCGAGAGCGAGAGAGAGAGAGACGGGAAGAGAGAGAGAGAGAGGGAGAGGGAGAGAGGGAGAGACGGACAGAGAGCGACAGAGACGGAGAGAGACGGAGAGAGAGACGGAGAGAGAGACGGAGAGAGAGACGGAGAGAGACGGAGAGAGACGGGGAGAGAGAGGGAGGGACAGCCAAGGCTCCCCGTTACTCACAGGGGGGGGTCGAATGGAAGAGTTAGTCTGGGGCTCTGGCTTTGCGACCGGGGACTGGCAGCCCATTCATGTCACGAATGAGAAGCGAGGGCTGCCACTTGAAAGGTTCGCCAACCTCAGACAAAGCAACGACATCCAACTGCCATCTCTGCCCAGCAGGCCTCCCCGGCAAACTGAAAACCACGCACCTCGACGAAGGTGGGTGGATCCACTGGGTCCAGGTTCGGCCTCAGCCACAAGAACGATGACGTTCGCGCAATGCGATCGCACGTTGGCCCACAGACATCCTTTCTGACTAACGTGAGGCAGTAGCAGGCCTTAGAGCAAAAGCACGCCTTTCACTGAAACCACCGGCTAGGCACGTGGTGAGGTTCACCACTTCGATGCTGGCAACTGGAGTGGAGACGAGCATTGAGGCGCCCTGATGACACAGGTTGCACAACGTGTAGGGTGTAGGGTTTAGGGTTTAGGGTTTAGCTGGCATCACTGCCCCGAGGATTACACACACTTTTCATCGCCTCAGTCGATTGCACACCACCCGACGATGGGACCAGCGTGTACATTCCCGCAGGACCCCGCACAGAGAAGTCCGTAAGTGCAATGAGGCCCATCTCATTCGTTGGACCTGAGGCACTGAGGCACTGTAAACGCGCTCTTCAACCTGATCTCAGCCTGTGAGCCTTGGCAACAAGATGGCAACAACTCGAGACATCAAGACGATTTCTCTAGCACCCTGAGCTTCTTGGACTTCTTGGGACGGCACCGGCATTAAAACCAACCTCGTACTTGCAGACCTGGCGCATTCACATTCACGGGCCACTCAGGGTCACTTCGGATCCCGAGGCACTGACATGCTGAAGGCGCCGGGCTTCCAGTGTCCCCTTCATGGCGTCGAACTGCGCCTGCTCAGGTGCGCGCCGTTGCCAAGATAGGCTCGAGGATGACTGGATCACTTTCTTTGGGGAGCACGACGTAAGCAGAGTGATGGCGCTGTTGCACAGCAGGCTCAGCACCGCTGACCACGAAAGCGGGGCGGTTCTTCTTCGGATCACTGGGCTCGTCTGTCAGATCTGGATAAGAGGGGGGGAAGCTCGAGTGGAGGTGCCCCCCAAGACGAGCATTATGATCGCATGAAGAGATGAAGGGGTGGACCCACGATGCCGTTCTTTTCAGCAACATGGGGGGAAATCAAGGAACTCGGCCTACAACCCTCCCTTGGCTTCGACTCTTCGACCATGCCTTGGAGCACGGGAGCGGGCCATCGGCAACGAAGTTGGACGCAACAACCTCCAGAAGCGAAGAGAGGAATCGCAGCTGCCAGGATCTACGAGCGGAGCCCCACTGCACCGCCCACTTCCGTGATATGAGCCACAATGCGCCTCCACGTGCGTATTCCTCATGGGACTTCCAGCATCATCGACTGCAAAGAGCTTCTGCGATCGATTCGGAAGACTTCCCGTTCCTCAGCAGCTGTGCTTACGAGGCTCTCGGTCACAGGCCACGTTGCTGTCCAAGCTTCCAATGAAGAAGCTCTTCAAGTCCGCTGGTAAGTCGCCCGAGACCCATGCAGTAGGTGGAGGGTTGGCGAACCTCACCTAGAAAGAAACTTGATTTGTGGCAGCAGCTGAAGCAATGGTCCAAAAATGCGGAAAACGACCATCGAATTCAACTAGCAGGTGCTCGCTTTATCTCGCATCGCCTGGTAGAAATCACATCGTGGAGCGTCCACATTGGGAACCACAATTTCGGCGGTCACACATTGAATCGAAGGTTGGGAAAGTCATGTTCGGCCCTGTAAACCGTCGTTGCTACTCCTTGGGCCTGCCAAGAGACACTCTAGCTTGTTGTACAGATCGGCTTAAGTGTCAAAAACATTGCCCGCCAGGCTTCGTGAGATTTGAGCTCTCACGCATTCAGACCGACGCGCACCATCCACATTCTGGTTCAGCACATGTTGATGTGTATTCTTGCATCTGGTGTGTGCAACTTCTCTCCGGGGGAGGGTGCACAATGGGGTGATGCGCATCTCCACCTCTGATGCGGAACAGACAGTCACTGCTACTGCGACGAAAGACTATGGGATGGTGACGAGGCAAGACCTGGTCCACCTATCTCCGCCTATTGCTCTTGAAAACATGTAAAGAGAGGGAGAGACAGAGAGAGAGAGAGAGAAACAGAGACAGAGAGACAGAGAGAGAGAGAGATAGAGAGATAGAGAGACAGAGAGAGAGAGAGCGCGCTGTAGTTTCCAGAATTCGCTATGGTTCTGCATCGTGTGCTTTCCAAGGTACCGTCTTCAATCGAGGCTCGGGGGCTGGCGTCGTCTTCAGCAAAGCAAACCTTAGGCGTTTGCCAGGCCTAACAACTTGGCAGCAAGGGGCATGCCCGCACAAAGATCCTTGTGAGTCAGGGCACACGAAATAGACGTAAATCAGCGAGAAGGCCACAATGTTCAATGTTCGAACCTCGGTGGACAGCATCGACTCATTCGGACTACAAGAAGTAGAAGGCAAAGCAGTCGAAGGCACCTGTTGCAGCCCGAGTCTCCCGGACTTTGTCTTCAACAAAGTCACTGATCGTGAAGAAGCATATCTGAGCGAGCGTCAACAAGTAGAACGCAAGAAGAACTTCAACAACTTCATTCTGGCACCCCAGTGTCTCGGCGACCCAGTTCTTACAGGTCGCGCACGCTCGAACTCTCCCAACCCTCCACGAAGCGACTGTGCCTTGTTGATACCTGTCGCAATGTGACCATCAACTCCGGGACCCTGTGGCAGAGGTCATCACCACACTGGCATCTCTCTACTCTGCTTGTAGAGACGTGTGCCCGGCAGCGAAAGCAACACTCACTGCTTTCTTCGGCAACACGATCATGGAATGCTCCCGACCTTCTTTTTCTTCGCCACGTCTTCCGGAGCAACCGCCATTGCGCCCACTTCTGGCTTGAGGCTGGACGCTCCAATCGCAATCTCTCCATTTCACACATAACTTAACATCCAGCTTGAGTGTGGTCATCCACAGGCGTCAACTTGAAAGGCAAGCGAGATCAACGCAGCTAGCAGGATCGCTCCCCTCTGCCCAGCCCTGCTATCCACCACGCTTGACTTCTCCTTGCTACCCGCCCATGATAGCCCGGGCCTTTGACAATGTCTTTTCAATTTTCCCTCCTCTCCATAAGCCCATTCGTCTCCCCGTTCCTGGCACCATCGTCACTGCTGAAGGAAAACTAAACTCAAGCCTTGCTTGCGCCTTCATGGTTACCTCCAAGTGTCTCGAAATCCCTGCTGATCCCTACAACGAGCAATGACTACAACGAGCAATGACGGCAGCCGGCATTCTGAGAAGTATACTTGCGTCGCCAGTGGCTGCATGCGACCTGCCCCAACAGAAGGCACACTGCACTCGTCACGCTAATTGGCTACCCTGCGGCAGCGCCTCTGCAGAAATTGCTCAGCAAGCCGTTCCACCTGGCGAAGCTTCACTGATCGAGCTCAGCGCTGATGGTTGCCTACTAGGGTGTATAAAACCTAAAATAAACCCTAAAATTGGCCCTATGCTACGAGAACGCCTACTAGGGCGGATAAACCCTAACGACTTGGAATTATCAAGGCCCAGGCCAGCTCACCCTCCGTGCCTGCAGATGGCTATTGAAACTCCTACCACTTACTGCTGGCTAGTAGGGAATAGGGAAATCAGGTACAGCACCTTATATCCCGCGATGCATACCCTTTAAGGGATTATATAGGGTACCTCTTTCCCCCATTCCCTACTAACCAGCAGTGAGACATGCTGGATCCGGGAATTGGGAGAAGACTTGTACGGCTGGGACACCTGGGGCCCCTGCCATCTGCTTCTAGCCCGTGGCCTCGACATTCTTCCTTCAAAAGCTCCACGATGCCTGGCACGAGTGCTGCAACTTCCACGGTGTCCCAATTTTGCCTTCTTGGAGTGAAATCCGTTGCCGCCTGGGCTCCTCAGATCGGTGTCCTCACCAACTCACGCGCATTTCCTTCAAAGCGCCCACGTACTCTCCATGCACTCTCGACGTACTCGCCTTCGCTTGGAGGACAGGAGGGACGAGTGGACTTCGTTCTGGATCTTCTGGCTCCAGCCTCTGACCACAGGCATCGAAACAGGCCTCCTTTGAGTCCACAAGCTGCGGCACACTATTGCGGCATATTGCAGCATAGAGTCGGATCTCCACGCAAGTTGGTCTCGACTGATGCTGTAGGCCCCAGATTCCGATTCGATTCCGAGCCTGGGGCGGTCAATGTTTTGCATGTTGTCACCCTGACGTCAAGCCGGCCTTGCATCCCCTCAACGTTGGACTTGAAGGGCTCTGCCTCCAAGCCGGGCCACCACATCAACATCGACATGACAAAAAATGCGCCAAGGCTTTGGCCAGAAAAACCTCCTCTCGTGATCCCTGCCCATGATTATGCACATTGCAGGGTCGTGATCCCCAGGGGGCCCTTGCATGGCTGGCATGGCCCATAGGAGCTTCCTTGGCTCCATCAAGCCTCGATGCCCCCGTCGATGTCGACACGCGCCTCGAGAAGAAGCTTGACCTTGGTGCAAAGCGAGAGTTTTCACCACACCTGGCGTGGCAGTAGACATTTCAGGAGACCCACGATTGTCTGCGAACCCACATCAGAAGGTTCAGCGGAGGCGACGCGGAAGAGAGCATCTGCCGAGGACGCGTGGGCAAGCATGTGCTGGACCTTCACCATGGCAAGGAGGTGAAAGCAGATAAATAGACAAGGAGAGAGAGAGAGAGAGAGAGAGAGAGAGATTGAGAGATGCATATGTATGTATGTATGTATGTACATATATATATATATGTATATATATATTATACATAGAAACAGAGTTATACATATAAAACACATACACACACATATACATATATATATACATATATATATACATATATATACATATATATATATGTGTGTACACACTACCTAAGAAAAGACACACCTGGATCCGCCATTGTCACGCTTTACAACTTGCGAAGCTGTCTGCTTCACGATGAAAACGAGGCCTCTTCACAATGAACACGACATGTCCCATCGGCTGAGAAGTCTTGGAGGACTACCTTGAACATGTTTGCCAAATAAACCAATATTGAAGGTTGAATTTGGAATGCTTGCAAAATCATGTCCAATAAATATTTGAGGACTGCAATCGGAGATCTACTGGACACTTTCAGGAATCTTCAATCTTCAATCTTCAAACTTCAAACTTCAATCTTCAATCTTCCATGTTCCATCTTCCATCTTCCATCTTCCATCTTCAATCTTCAATCTTCCATTTAAGATATGTTTTAACACTATTCAGGTACGTGTCGGTAATCTGAACTCGGCTTCTCGCGACCGAGGCGTCTCGGGACGAAAGATTCTTGGACAACGCCCATATACCATGTATAATGAAACAAAACAACCCACTCACACTGAAATCTACTCCACAACCCTCTTCAGACGCAATGAAAAGATTCCATATATACAACAGGCCCATACAAAACGCATACCTCCCCTTTTGCGACGCGCATTCACATGAGAACAACACAAATAAAACGGCCACCACTCATACTGTCACCCTCACATGAATGCGTCCTAGCACGAAAGAAAATTATGTAAATCATGTATACCGATCAGCAAACAAGCAAGCATACAAACAAAAAAATCAACAAACAAAGAAACAACTAGTAATTTCATCTCCACCTGTACGTATATATGCAAGCTCCTAAGTCCTAAGCTCCTAAGGCACATCCCACTGTCAACTCCCAGAACCCTGTTTGGAACCCGCGAGCATGTTCCGAGCAGACTGTCTGCAGCTCGAACCCTCGAGCGCTGCACTCCTAGTCTTAAATCCTAGAACGTACGCGCTACGTCCTACTCTCAGCCCTAAACCCCAAAGCCTGAATCTCTAGAAGGACTCTAAAACAGTCAAACCTATTGTACGAAGGAAGGGGATCGTAAATGCCGCATGTTAGGTTGGTATGTGCCAGACAGGTTACTCTCTCTCGCTCTCTCTCTCGGCCGCGCCATCCCCTAGGGTCTTGCCACGCAAGGGCGCGAAAAGTAGGCTAGGATCTCAGTGCCATACAGGTTTGGAAGTTATTTTTTTGGAGTTACATTTTAGCCATAGATTTGGGGGTTCTCCCACCATGTTGGCGTTTAGGGATGGGCAATGTCGAATCGTATGCCTTGGCTCTCACTTTGCTTGATTTAGGTGAGGATTCTGGGTGCTGCTTGATAAGCGAGGGGAATGGATGGCATTCTACTTTATTACTGTATTCGCAGTCGTTTGGTTTAGAGGTGTGCTCTCTCAAAAGATTGGTTTCAAGGATGGGCTGTGCTGAGCCGCGAGTGAGCTATGGAAATCAAAAAACCATATGGATAACCAGGGATTCTCTACGTGTTGATCCGAGGGGGGGAGGGGGGATAGCATCCCTAAACCCAAAACCCTACACCCGCCATCCCCTAAACGCCATCCGCATGCATGCCGCAATTCTCGCCCAGGGCTCCGACCCCACTTCGACCCCCAAGCTGCTCTGCCTGGCGCTGCACTCTCCCTCTGCTTCTACTGTTCTTCTTGCCATGTTGGGGGTTTCCGAAAATAGGGTACAGTACCCATTTTGGGGCGTACCCTTACTAAGGAATATAGAATTTTAGGGGGTCCCCTATTTTTGCTCTGGCGCCTTCTGTCTGCAACGTAGCAGCTCATGGCTTCTGCTGTGACACATGAAACCTGCGTGTGCCTTCGGCCTTTGGGGGGGCATGTTGCTAAGACTACCTCGCGAGCAGCAACTGCGCGGCACTGATTGTCACAACTTCACAGTGCGCATCCCCATCATCACCAGAAAACGCCACAACATCGGGGTCTAACAGTCAGCAGGAACCCTGAACCCTAAACCCTAAACCACATGGAACCACTACATCCGCTACCCTCCTTGCCAGGGCCCTGGCTTCCTGCAGGCAGCGGCGCACGACGTTCAAATCGCGCCTGCCCATGGCCTGCAAGCAAAGGACAGACAGTCACACCTTGCTTTATCAACATGAGAAAAAAGAAGCCTCGCGCCAAATCTCTGCCACAGCATCCAACACCGCAGTCCTGACGAAGTGGCCAACAGACAACGTGTGCGGGCCATGCGTGGCTTTGAGGCTCAGGCTCATTGGTTCGCAGTGTCGGATCCAACTCCTCTGTGGCGTGCTCCGGTGGCTCCATTTCATCTTGGACATCCTGAGTGGCTATGTGGGGCAGCCATGATCATCTGAGGAATGCTACATCCATTCCGTCGGCTACTTGACGCTACTTGCTAAAGTACTTCTTCAGGAATCGGCACCTCATCTACAGCTCATCCCTTTGGTGTCCTCCTCCTCCTCCTTCTTACGGCATGTCTCACTCACCTGCCTCGTGCTGGACGTCTGAAGCTGATTCGGGCGTAGCCTTATCCAAGATCACATCGATGGTTGGGATGGTTGCTGCGTGGTGGGAACGGCCAATCTCAGGCCCGGCCTGAAAACTGCTCTGAGCAGGAGCTGACCTTCACCACGTCATCTTGCAGCAAGGGTAACGGGAGGCTTCGCTCTCATGCTCAGGGCCTTGGCGGATTGTCCGACCTCACTTCTCCAGTGGCTGTCTGCAGAGGGGCAGGCTCCAATCGGCTCCAAACCTGAATGAAGTTTCAAGAACTTCTAGAGGACTCTGCATGAGGTTCAGCTGTCTCACGCAAGGGCCCATGCATCCCCGTCGCTGAAGACGAGGCGGTTGCCAGAATCTGCCAGCTTTCCCTGTACACAGGTCTGTCGGGTTCCGACACTACCCCAAGTGTCCGAGAGAAAGAAAGAAAAGAGAGACAGAGATGCAGAAACAAAGGGAGAAAGATGTGTGTGTATGCATATATATATATATACCCCCAAAACCACCGTGTTTTGATACTATCTCCTTCACGATCACTAAACATCCAGATTTTTGAAAACGTCCACTTTTGAGAAGGTCTATGTCATGGAATCTGATTTTTAACATTGCTAACCTCCAGGTTTGCGAGAACTTATGCAGCAATACGAATTAGTCTCCGAGACATAGTCCCGAACTTGTTGTTCATAATCTGGCAATTCAAGTCTCCAAGATATGTGTCATTGCAAATTTTGGAAATTTACAAACTCAAGTCTACAAGCCCTCTCGAATTGGGAAATTTGGTGGAAATTCAGAGTTTCTTGAACTGTGCGCATCTGGATATGCATAGACACGTAGCGTTAAGAAGATCGAAATATCACTTTTGACGTGGAAAATGAAAGAAGTTGGGGCCCAGATTCCGTTTAATCCCATTATGTGTTTACAAGTTCTTGAAATGTCATTTAATTTGCAGTATGATTTGTGTGTACAATAACCGACCGGGTGATCGTAGAGGCAACTAAACCTCCCATGATACTACCCAAATTGCTGAAGCGATAGTCTCAACTTGCAGGAAATCGCCAACATCAAAGTATTCATCTATAAGTTCTATTCGTGAAACCAATGAGAATATCACAGTTTAGTTAAACCAGGCCAGCCGCAAAAATTAAAAAAAAAAAACACAAACAAACTATTGCCACATATGAACAGTGGCTTCAAATACATGGTTTGAAACCATGAAGCAAAGCCTCATCAACTCTTAATTCAACTTCATGATGATGGCCGGGGCTAGTTCGTTGGTAGGGAAGTAGTTATATGCATTGCAGCAGCATGAAACAAATGGCCCTTGGCTTTTAAACTGAACCATATGTTCGTGATTTTGCATGAGGCCAGGCTATGCGCTTCGAAAAACTTAGTGTTCCAGGGAGTATTGAAAGAGAATGAAGGAAAGCTAATGGGACAACCGACAAATCATGCTTCGGTGCTCGAGATGGAATGTTCGGCGGTATTGTAGTTCAATGAAATTAACTAGCCCTGGTTACCACATAAAAAATAATGATAAAGGGCGGCAAAAGTTATGCCTAAAAGGCGGCAAAAGTTATGCAATGAATATGGCTAGCTACATTGACAAAATCAAACCTAGCCGCGATGATCATAGTTATTCTTGTTGGCGCACCAGCTGTCGCCCAGTGATGTTACACAAACTATCCTGGCTATTTGCATTTTTAACTTGTGGTGGGCTTTCCAATAAACCCGAACTTTTGAGTAGCACTTTCTTAAGATTCGAAAAGTCACCTCAAATTGTACTAACCAACCCAATTCAAGCGTTTACAACTTGGGAGAATATGTCTCCTTAGTAAGGGTATGGACGGTATGGTCTTAGAGGGCACTTTACAAATGAGATCGATCGCGTTTGAAGTTACAAGCTGTCCGTTATTGCAATTCCATGACAAGAACTAAAACCAAAAGTCCAGCAAAACAAGTACAACATAGATCGCACTGCAGAGGTTTGCAACGAATTCCCTAAGACACACGAGAACGAAGACGTACAAAAACACTACCCAAGACTCAAAACTCGAGGTTCGGAGATGAACTCAAATGAGTCAAACATCAATTCAGAACACACGCACGGAACAGTCGCTTTTTCCACATAGCGAAACTGTTCAGGGGCTCCTGTCCTGTTCTAGATAACTAAACAACCTTGCGAATCTACTATTGTCCAGAATCAGCCGCATATCATGGGTACTTGGAACGTCTGGGCGACGCTTCTACGAAAGGTCAGGGAGCTCAGGGCAGCCGAAGCGACCGACAGCAAAGCACCTTCTTGTAGAAGGAAAAGGGTGGGCGGGAGGGACAAATCAGGTTCTGTGCAGATCTATATTTTGCATATGGCATATGGGTCTTATATATATGTATATATGGACATATTTATGCATGCGGCGGTGTAACCGTACCTGGTTTCTGCTACTTTTCTTGGGGGGGGGGGGGGGGGGGTGGGGGGGGGGGGGGGGGGTGGGGGGGGGGGGGGGGTGGGGGGGGGGGGGGGGGTGGGGGGGTTGGGGGGGGGGGGGGGGGGGGTGGGGGGGGGTTGGGGGGGGGTGGGGGGGGGTTGGGGGGGGGTTGGGGGGGGGATAAGAACGTCATTCATATTGCATGCATGCCGAAAGCACTGGTATTTACAGCGTTTTCGCCTCTTTGTACAACATACTCCACAAGGATGTGGAAGAAGAAAATCTGTCACAAGCGTCCAGCCTTTCGCGACCATGCCCAACACACGTCCCACAAAAACCGTCAAAGTCCTGAAATTTGGCAAATGCGTTTTCGGAAATGCAAGCCTCCAAACATTACAGCTGCAGAGGCTGTCTTGGCAGAAATGCATGAAAACATCGCAATTTACAGTGTTTGCCGCGCGTGCACACAGCAAAGCTGTGAGACTCGCGTCACGACTGCACACACAGCAAAGGAAAAGTCCCAGAGCGCTCAAGGCCCCAACAACAAAACGACCCGAAAATCTTGCAAAAACCCAACGTTTCGCAAAAACGACTTACGGACTCACGCCTTTCAAAACCTCCCAGAATAGGCCTGTCGCCTAGGCGAAACGCTAACTTTCACCAAACATTAGGGTACGGTTTCCACGGAGGCGGGATGTTTATGCATGTACTTCATGGTCATACCCAGGTACACACACATGCTCAGACACCAACACCGACACAGAAAAAAGAAAGACAGACAGATAGATAGATAGAAAGAAAGACGGGGCTCCTGAAACATCTCTCCATCCAGCTCCATGTTGAACCTTGGTGCACAGGTCCTGACCCTATACTTCTCGGAGCATGCCTCCCTACAGTTGCATGAGCATTGAGCCAGGCCCGAGGCGCGACATCACTTGTTGCTTGCAGCAATGTCTGCAGCCCACTCTGCCAACGAATCTCCTCCCAGCTGAGTGAGCATTGAGCGTTTAGTACGGGTTTAGGGTTTATGGCTATGGTTTAGGGTAACATGTGCAACACACAACTGCTTGATCCAGCGCACGGCGTACTCCCACGCAGCCAAGCCACCCCACCCTTGATGGTGCAACAGCCCGACCTCAGTTTCGCCAGCCAGTGCCGCGTGCCTCCCGCTGAATAGCAGCAACTTCCAGGGCACACACGCATAGCTCCAAATGCCATCGAACTCAAAGGACCCAATTTGGCTGGAGACATCCTCCACTGTGTTGAAGAACAGTTGTCATCAGTACTTGGGCTACTGCTGAAGGAAGAAAGAACTTCAACACACACACGAGGGCAGGGTCGAATTGCTGCTGCAATGATGGGCCAGGTTAGGAGCTCCTTGTTGTGCCACAGCTGAGTCCTCTTATGCCTTTTTGAATCTGGGTCGTGAGCGGACCGCGTGCGGACCGCGTGCAAATTTCCCTTACTGCGAACCCCCTTATCGCTCTTCTTCATCATCACAGTGCGATGAAGAATTGCTCTATCGTTGTATCATTCTCTTCCTCATCGTTGTCGACCCTCGGAATCTGCCGACACCAGTCCCAGTTTGTGTTGTTCTTTTTTGTTGGTTTTATCTTTACTTGGTGGGTGACCAACCATGCCCGGATTGCTCTGAGAGATTTTTTGGTGAGCGGCAAGAAGCATGCACGTGGTCCGAAAATCTGCAGAGCTTTTGTAGAAGCTCCACTCGCGGGCGAGGGGAGCACATTCCAAATCTCCAAAACGGCTGCACAGAATCCCACCATTGCCGCCCTTGTCCTCTGTCCAACAGTGGCTCCAAAAGTACCTCACGCGAGGGCTCGTTGAAGAAGCAAGACTACACTTCACTGCCAGCGTTGCGAACTTGCAGGGGCACTGTTCGGCGTCAAACCGTGAGAGGGCCGCATACTTTCCACACCTCGCAGACGTGGTGAACAGTTAACACCCAACTGTGCTAGTCTCCAAGGCGTCGGCAGCTGCTCCAACCTTGATGCGGCACCGGGCCGCTGCCATAGACTGCCATAGACTCGGCACTTATGGTGACTTATGTTGATCGGAGTGCCTGAGTTCTGTGAGCACCTTCTAGAGTCGCCGAAAGGGCCCCTGCGTGTACTTCCTGCCATCTGCCGGGTCCAGCCGACATGCCGCAGCATCCTCCACTCATGTGATCTCATATCGCACAGGCCATGGGTGTCACAGGAACGGTGTGGTCCAACTACTGAAACCTGAGCGACATCGTGGGCACGCCTGATCGGACGTGGAAGAGGCTGTCCGTCCTTAGATGGTACTCGAGAACCAGGGGCAGCCAATGGTAAGGTCTGAGGTGAGGTGCTGAACTCGCTCCTGGCTTCCTCCAACTGCTTCTCTGCAGTCGCCGACCACGTACGCCAGTCCTCCCTGGCCTCATCCGCACTGCATGCAATCGTTGCGATTGCAAGGCCGCACATGATTTTCCAAAAGCAGAATGCAAAGCTCCCTGTGTGAGTTTTGCCGATCGGAGGAGCCTACAGTCTAAGGCAATGGCATAACCCAGGGCTCCTTGCGAGCACTTGGACTGGAAGTTGGACATGACAAGATGTTGGTTATCACCACAAAGACACAACGTGAAAGCTGACAGCACACTTGATGCATCCAGACGTGATGTCAATCGTTGCTGAGACATGCTCTCCGTTGCGGCGCTGCACCTCGAAGGTTGGCCACAGGAGTGTCGATGGCTTCGGCCTCTTGGTGGGTGAAGAGCCCACTCTGCCTGCACAAGATTCCCCCGCAAAGTTCATGTAGTCGCAACACGATGACATGCTTTGAGCCAGGGGTCGTCAGCACCAGCCTGTAGCTCTCTATAGCTTGGCACCACCACATGTCTCGCACTGGCAGGTGCACCTTATACAGAAGCAGTGCGACTCGCAATTCCCGTGAGGACCCCTGCTGAGACCCGGACAGCTGTGCCTGCGGACCGCTGCTTGATGCCCAAACGTCGAAGCGCAGAAGCCACGCCCCCACTGTCGAAGAGGAGATCCTGCCGGATTGCCTTAAGCTAGCCACCTAGCCGTGGCATCCCACAAAGTGCTTTATACACACCCGTGACATCCCAAGTCAAGGCCCATGACAACTCGCGCAGCCTGCATGAAAGCTTTCAATCTGCCCCAAACACATTTAAACGCTGATGGTGGGCACTGATGACTGTGTCTGTGGGTGAAACGATCTCTTCGAACGGTGGCCAGCGACCGGAGAAGGCCAAGGCCCAAGGCATGAGATCACAAAAGTCATCCTTCACAGGGAAAGGAGCAGTAGTAGCAGTAGGCTCATCAATTGCTCACAATTCATTGACACTAATTGACACCGGTCACCTTCTGCTCCGGACCTGCGCTAGTAACATTAACGTGGGCCGTCACAGGCTCTCGCACTTTCAAACATCGGCCACCTCCCTGCTTTGCGAAGGAGGAGTCCAACAAGAGTGTGTGGGGGGGCGATGAGCCTACCTCTAAAGTCGAGTAGGCTCACCAAACGGAGCAGTGCATGGCACAAAGTCGCGGGGCATCATGCCTCATGCAACCCATAGCACACACACATCAGAGTTACCCGCAGCTATCCACTGCAACCACTCACCGAGAGCCAGTTGGCGGGCGACGACCTGGGCAGCTTTGAGAGGCCAAGGCTCACCAACACGTGCTGAGATGCATGGCGGCAACACCAGTGATCCGAGAGTCTTGCTTTTATCCGAAGAAACCGTCATCTTTGTGTCCTTGTTAGCAATATGCAACGCACGGGCGCCTGGTGCCCTGAGTGGCTGGCATTCAGCACTCCACGCACAATGCTGTGCAGGCTTTCTTGCAGGCAAGCAGCCACGGTGCTCCTGAGCATGGTGTGACTTTCTTTATCATGAAACCCTAGCCTTGCCTGGCACAATGCTGACGACGCTGTGCTAAACGAACCGAAACGTTCCGAGGATCTTTGACTGGAGTGCCGGCTTGGCCCTGCCGTTTTGCTTCTCTCGATGGTTTGCCGGCGAGGCTTCTTGCAGGATCAGGTAGGACGAGCTCTCTTTCTCCGGCAGCGCCTGCTTCACCAACAAAACCAATCCCACCTCAACTCTCTGCGACTCCGCAACTCTACCAACCCGACTTCAGGTAAGCCATGCAATCTTGCGGGAGCCACGGCAACACGAGGGCCTTGCAGACGAATCGAATAAGAGCAGCCAGCCCCAACAACCCGAAGAGCAAGAAGTTCGAGTAGGTCTCTGTCTCTTCATCCTTCTCCTCTTCCTTCTTTTTCTCCTCCTCCCTCCTGAGTGGAACGAATAAGAGAAGCGTCCAGGTCCACGAGGCAAAGTGCAACAAAGCACAGCAGGAGTCACCTCTTCAGCCGTTCCTCCACCTCTGCCTCAATTCTAGCCTTCACCTCTTCTGACTCACCATCAGAGCCTTCATGTCAGTGAGAGTCTGCAAACCGACTGTGGCTCGCGGCTAGCAGATTCCAACATGCTGCAATTACCAAACAAAAGTTGCGTCGCTGCCTGGCGAGGGCGTTGGCGGATCGGAGGCTTGTCGGGCCTCAGGCTCCTGGGGCAGCGAGTCACGCAGCAGTCCGGCTTGACATGTATACGCCCCAGGCATCTCCAGGCCTTAGCATCGCTGCTCGCGACGTGCGCGTCCACGAGGAGCGAGCCTCTCAGAACCTCTTGCATCATGGCATATCATGGCATATCATGGCATCACACTACCGACCGAGCAGATGCAGGGAGCCCATCACAGTCACAGGGCCCGAGGAGTAGAAGCTCCTCCTCAGACCCTCAACAAGCCACGGCCCTTCATCTAAAATTGGGGAACCTGCTTCAACGTGCAGATTAGATGGGAAGCCACAGCAGGTGCAAACGTGGGACACATGTGTAGCGGCGGGCTCGAGCGACTCGAACTTGAACGTGCGAGTCGATTTCTGCCAGGGAACTGTCTGGTCTGCTGCTGCAGGCAGGATGACCGACACCAAAGCCGCCACGGCCCAGAGCCGGCTCATCATCTGGGAGGCACAAGGACTTGGAACGTAAGTCCAAGAAAATACGATAATGGCCTTTTGGGGCATCTGGGCCTGTCCGGGTCTTAGGGCACACATGGCACAGCGAGCTCAGCGAACTCTTTCCGGGGCTCAGTGGTCAGGCTAAGGGTTGCAAGCAGCACCTTCGGCGTCCGCAGCATTGTCAGGCCCGTCGACGGCTACGCTTTTGTTTGCATAGGGTCGATGCAGTGGGAACTGTGCCCGGACTTCGTCCGTCAATGAGGAGATCGCTTGCAAAGCTTCTTGGTACCTACCTAGATCCTCCACAACCACACTAGGGCCGCTAGGTACGCTGGGAGTTGACACTGAGGTGGACCAGTTGCCCAGCACCTCGCTCGTGTGGCTGTGCAGGCTGGGGTCCAGCTGCTTGATGTCACGAATGGCATTGGCACAAAGATGATGCATTTGAACCTTCCACTCTTTCTCCAGCTTGTCCTGCTCTCGGATGGCGGTCTGGCGCGCGACGTGGTACTTGTACTGGCGATCCCGATCTTCATCACATACTCGCTTCTGCTCTTTTACAAGCACGCGCCGAGTGTGAAGCTGTCCCGCGTGCTTTGCCCACTTCTCCTTCCGGGTCTCGACTCTCCTTTTCGTTTCAGCCGTCAAGGCCCTGCGATGCTTCTCGCTATCGGCCTTGGAACATGCACGTTCGAGAGCGCCCTGGGACAGAATGAAATCGAAATGCGATTCGTACTTGGCACGTCTCGCGCTGCTTTGCGCACGCTGTTGGCGCGCCGCCTCTCTGCGGCGTTGCTGTTCCAGCTGGGCCTTCACCTTCTCCTCTGCCAGCCTGTCCACCACGAGCACGTTCCGAGACTCGTCGAACACCCGGCGCCGTTCACGCCGGTGCAGTTCATGGATAATTGCAAACTCGCGTCTGCGATGTTGCATCTCGAAATGCTCCCTTCGGACATGCTCTTGTTGGGCCAGTTCAGTCTCTTGCCGACGGGCCTGCTGCACGGCTGCATACTCCACATCTCTCACTTCCTCCACCTGCCGGTAGTAGTTCGCTAGCATCTCCTCAAACACCTTCCCCATGGGAATGGCTGAGTCGGGGCCTTCGGGGCCGGAACTAACGGAGCCCCGCTTGGGAGTCAACTCTGGTGAAAGTCCCGAAGCTCCCCAGTCAGAGGTACTGGCCGACAATGGGCTCGGAGCTTGGGGCATGGGCGAGTTCGTGCGGGTGCTCTGCATCGAAATGGGCCGTAAGCTCTGCACTCGTGACTGCAGGCCACGGGATTTCCGGGCTTGAGAAACGACGGCCCTGTTCGCGCGCAACGACTCCTGTCGGGCCTTGGCGATCAACTCCTCTGCGGCACGACGTTCGCTTAGCGCAATGGCAGCCACACCGGCCGAGTCAACTTTTCTCGTTTCGGTTATTGGGGGTATGGCACCCGAAAGCTGCAAGTCCAAACAGATTCCACTTGCCTTCAAGGAATCTTCCTGCATAAAATCAGTTGGACTGACCTCTGCCAGCGCCTGCGTGAACTTTTCGAACTGGTCTTTCTTGCGCCGCTCCAAGCTCTGCCGAATGTCTGCGCTGCCGGCTCTCATTGTCGATCAGTCCGATCCTATCTACGAAACTCCCAAGCGACGCAATCCCTCACAGTCTTTGTGAAGGCTTGGGCCAACGCCTGCGACGGGAGCAATTGAAAGCTAGAGAGGTCGCATCAATGAAAGTACACGCAGCAAGCAAGCAAATGCAAGGCAAAAGCCTGCACACGCTTGTACAGATCACTGCACATCACATTAGGGTCTCTGAATGAGGTGCGAGTGTCAAAACTGAGGGCATGAGTCACAGCGTCGGGTCGGGCCTCCAACCACTCCCTCGCGCTTCAAAACGCTACATTCTCTGCACTTGGATTTGAGCCTGGCCTGAAGTCATAGAGGGTGGTTACGACCGGTCACAACCCAAGGCAAGGTGTTGAAAAAGACCATGCCCTGTTTCCTCCACCCGGCAGAGAACGACCTCAAATCCATCAGCTTAAGGTTAAAGCCTGCCGAAGCTGCTCCACAGGGTTCCTACTACCTCACTAAGGATCAGACATGCTTCGCGGCCTTTCCGAGCGGGAGCTAGAGAGAAGGGAGGGAAACAGCAAGAAAAGAAACCGACAGCCCATGCAGACGGGTTTCTACTGCCGCCCGGCCGAGATCTTGAGTGAACCACGCCCACAAGGACCTATCTCATGCAGCGCGGCACATTCGGGAAGTTCATCTTGCGCCCCCCCCTTTTCTGCTCAAAGAAACCGAGGTCACCGCATGAGCCCTTCAGAGTGCAAGTTGCCGGAGCACTCGACAGGCTGTTGCAACCAGTCCATCAGACCCGGGCATTTGCCTGTTCAGTATCACAAAGGTTGCGCATGTGCGAGGGGCTGTTTTGCGTCTGTGCTCCGCGTTCTCAAACCTGCATGGTATCCCCCCTCGACTGTAAACCCTGACCCAAACCCTTAACCTTAAACTCAGCACGAACCAGGACGAGAGGGGCAACCCAAACCCGGAACCCAACCCCTAAACCCGCCATGAACCACAGGTCATGAACCACAGACCATGCAAGAGAAGGGGGGGCATGCCATGTGGGGGGAGGAGGGTGCGTGAATGCGGGCACATATTGGGGCATGGCTCGGATTCACAATGTTTACTGCTCGTGCACTTGGGCTGCATGTAGCAAATGCGCACCTGCGAACTCCAACTTGCCTGATGGCTCTTCCGCACGAGCCTGAGCTCTTCAGTTTGTCTTTGCTCACGCGGGAAACAAGGTTCTGAGAGAATCTGAAAGGATCTGAAGCCGAGGGCGGCTCCAGGAATGCACCGGGAAAGCCGCTGAGTCGTGCCCGAGCGACCCAGGCATGGGGCTCCTGCACCAGGAGGAGCACCTGAAAAGGGATGGTGAGCTCTGCGGCATAGTGACAGTGTGCAGCTAACAAGACACGCTGCATGCATGGGCTGCTGCCAGTTTGTGCCGATCCTCATGCGCGCCATCACTCTCCGATCTCCGTGACTACAGCGCAACACTCTGATGAAAGGTGCTGCGCACTGCTGCCTCCACAGTGCGCTTCTCCAGCAGAGCCGCCAGCTCCAGACTTGAGACGGTGACCTAAGAAAGCTCAGGTCCGCTCAGCCTCCTCGACTTCCTTGCTGTCATGTTCGGCTACGGGCAGCATCGGCTGCAAAGTTGTCACGGATCCAGCGCTGAGCAACCCTGTTCACAGGCAGCACACCGTCTCTTGCTGGCAACCGAAAGATATGTTGCAACATATTCCTGCACGTAGCATGTGCAAAGCATAAACAGCACAATCACTGAACGGGGCGCCTGTCCATGCACGGCCTACCAAATCTCACGGAAGCAGCTGCGCAAACCTTGAAGCTCGGAACGTACTGGGCATGGCCTCACAGCCATCCCCGAACCAGCCAACGCATCGCAAACGAAGACACCTGCGCAACTGCAACGTGTTCAGGTGGTGTCAAGCAGCCACGAGAAATGGCCTGTAAACTTGCCACGGACATGGGTATCCAGGAGCAAGCGTGAGCCCAGCGTCTCCTTGCAGCTTGAAGATTGGCTATTGCTAGCTTGTCTCCCAACTCCAGCGATATCAAGTCCCCGCACCAGGTCCTCCAATTCCGATGTGGCTGGTAGCTTCAGCCGGGCAAGCTGATTCAACCATGGATTCTGAGACGAGCTCCTGGCTCACAGGCTCGCCAAGTCCAACCTACAGCCCCCAAACAGCTAAGTCACAAGCAGCTCTCCTCCTGGAGCAGCTCTGCCAACTGGACGCTGTGTATGCCGTGTGGGCCTGCTGGGTGAACCTTAGCTCGGCTGCGGGTTTGGGAGATGCCACAGCAGCTGCTGGCCGAGCTTCCGGCGGGGCAAAGTGGACCCCAACATCCTCGGAGTTGCATGAGATCCAGCCTTGCCAGATCTTGGCTTTACATCTGTGACTAAGACAGTAGAAACAGTAAGATCCTAAGGCATGCGTAGTGGCACACTGCTATAACAATCCACCACAAAGGATGGCCTTGCTCAGACTCCACTCGCCCATCCTGCGAGCCCAGTGCAGGGGCAATCAAAACTCGTCCGGCTCGGCTCAAGCGGCCTCCACCACTTTGCGACCTAGGCATGTGTGCTCTCTCATTCTATCAATTCCGACTTTTTCTCTTTTTTGGGGAGTGCCTTCAGTGGCAACTCAGGCCAGCTCATCTCAAATAACTGTGCGCCAGAAGGTCAGCAAGGACAACCTTGCAGAGGCGGAATATGCGAGCCGAGACTTCTACCTCGACATGCGCGCCCTGTTGGTGCGAAGAGCTGACCGCTTAAACATTCTCAGCATCTTATCTGATGACACCATAAACCATGCTCAGGTCAGCAAGGGTTCGCGTTCGCACGAAATAGACATGTGGAAAATGTGGACATGTGGAGATGTATTGCTCCAATGGACTAGCATTAGCAGAGTACACGAACACGCGGTGCTGAACAGCACAAAGCATCAACGGGCATCTTCTTTCCACCTGCTGAGTACATTAAGCAAAATAAACAAATGACACCTTAGGCCCAGGAGGCCAGGCCGCACAAACGTCGAAGTGTTGCTTGGACATGCCTGGAAGCCTGATGAAGTCAACTGCTTGCGGCCCACGTGGCTGGTCGCTGCGGGAAGGGAGTGAAGGCCACCAAGTCACCGGGCCCGATGACAGCCAGGATCTCACCTCCACCCGACTCTACCCCCAAGGCCCCCAGGGCCTGGGATGGTTTGGGACGGAGCGCGGGTTTGCAGATGCTACGTTTTTTCAATCCGTGGCGCCTGGCCTTTCCCGCGCGGCGCCGTGCGGATGCTCAAGGGGACCTGCACCAGAACATGGTGGATGATCGCAGATGGCCCCGTGCCTCGTGAGCCTTGCAAAGGCATTGCCAACGCTCAACGCCGGCGGCACCCATTCTCCTTCAGCCTGGAGCTGGACAAGGCAAGAACGTATCCACCCATAAAGAAACAACGCCATATCCTTGTCCGATCTTTTCGGCCCGCATGAGAACACCTACTTTTGGGCGCTTCTCTGTCAAAGCGAACATACCTGATGGCAGGCTGCTCTGCTTCGTTCGCACTATGGATGCAAGGCCATCTTGTGACATCCAGTGATGAGTTACTTGTCGGCCGAGCCGTTCTGCATGCAGGCCATGTACATGGTGACGTCAATTTTTCTTGGAGAAGCTCTGGCCGGATACTGCACCAAGAGAGTTGTGAGGAACGCGTTGAAGCCGAGCATTCACATCGTGAGATATTGTGAGCTTTTGCAGGCACGTCCCAACACGGACGGATGCTCAATGCTCAGGACCAGCTTTCTCACCGTGGCATCGCAAAACCTGCGGGATCCACTACCTGCCTTCATAAAAAATTTTCTACTGGCAAGTACGTGCACACCCGCCTCCAGCAGAGACGTAGCCTCGATGCTCTCCTCAGCGTCCTCAGCTCAATGCAACAGCAAGTGGATGCCTTGCTCAATCTTGTCGTCCTGGATCCAATATGACTGCGACAAGCAGCTCGGAGCATAGCTTCCAACACGGGACGAACTCCGGCAGCCGAAATGGCCGAATGGGTGCTGGGCTCGCCTCTGGCCAACGATGCCAGCGCGGCCTCACGACACATGGTGTCTGGCCAAGGCTGCGACGCGTTCTCCAACCAAAACATGAAGACGCAGCGACGCACATTAAGACCATCTACTAGCCTACTAGCAAAGCTACGTGGGAACACATGCTCGAGCTGTCGAGTTTCCGCTGCTCGGCGGCGCTCCTTGCTTGTGTCTGAATGCAGCAGATGCACCAGTCGCTCGATCGCGCCTGCGCGCCATATCTGACGACAAACCACCTTTCTTTGATGCAGAAGCACACCGTCGAGTTCTTAAATTGGGCATGTTGTGCTCTGACCTTTCGCATGCACCCAACATCTCTAAACCCATTCGGCAAAGAACAAAGGCTTAAGGCTTAGGTTGTATGCAGACTCTGCAGTTGGGGGCAGGCACCGGATCAGTCGCGAGGTTGGATAACGTGCAGGCAGACCAGATGCGTTGCTTCGGCTTGGCCCCTTCCAAACACTTCACCAGCGCCGACACGGCACCAGACATGCTGATCAAGTGCTTGTTCGCTTCGTTGTTCGCCGACAGATTGCACAACGCCGATGCGGCTTCTTCGGCCTCCAAATCCTGCTCAGAAGACAACATTTCCACCAACGTCGGAATAGCACCCAAACCTGCAATCATGGCCTTATTCCTAGAGTTGTTTGTAGCCAAGCGCGCCAAGGCAGCGGCGGCCCAACCACGCTCTTTACTGAGTGGGGGAGCTGGTGTTCTCAGCATGTTCACCAGCAGTGGCAATGCTCCAGAATCCACGATGGTTGTTTGATTGGAAGCACTGCTAGCCGCCAGGCAGCCCACTGTGAAAGCCGCACGTTCCCGTTCGTCCATGCCGCTTGATGACAGCATGTGTGCCAGTGCTTGCGCCTGCTCCTCGTCGATTGTACACGTTGCATGCGCTGCCGAAGTTGCCAAAGCAATAGCTTTTTGACACCTGGCAGTGCTCCTTTCTGCGTGGGCCACATGTTGCTTTGGCCGCTTGGGCCGTTTTTGGCAAAAGACAACAAGCACCCACCGCTCCCCGCTTGTGACCGGAAGCGATTGATGCCATACCAGATGATCCAACATGCACAAATCACCAGTTTCAAGAGCATAATCCGTGTAGTCACGACTGTTTTCTGAATCCCAGACTCTCACACCGCCGCCGGTGAATCTTTCACTATGCAATTGCAAGATGAAGGACGCATCAACATGCGGCCCATCCACATGCCGAGTGAGGTGTGTCTCTCCACGATGGACGCTGTAGCGGGTGACGAATGTTTGCACACGATGCAACTCGAAAGCACTGAACTCCGGATGGCGCGCCAGCCACCATGTGCACAACCGTTCCGTCAATCCGTCCAACAATGGTTGCAGTACCACAGCCATGGGGGGGTGTACAACCGCGCCAGGGACCATCGCATCTGGAAGGTCATCTAATTCTGCATAGCAGGAGATGTTCCATTGGCCTGTTGCGTCCAGGTACGATGTCCGACACGGCATGTACACTTCCTTGATTGCAGGCACCAAGGCAATCAGTCGTTGCTCTAATCCTGTTCGTACCACGCTAACCTTGACTCGTTCATTGTCGGCATAATGAGTCTCTTGGCGTCGATGGCAGCAGCTTGTGAACGTCCAAACACGTTTTCGCTTTTGACCCATTGCAATGTTTAGTGGCTACCAGACAACCAAACATGTCATGCACATAAACAATAGTGTACAAGGCACATGAATAATTATGGGTGGCTATGGGTGGCTCGTACTTGTTGCATGCATTGCGCTCGCCGACAATCACATGTCCTTGCTGTTGGCAACATACAACAGTGGGCTCATTGCTGCCAGGGAACTTGACTCCGCACGTCACAAGTACAAACCGGAACCCTTTCGACTGATGGCCTTGGCACACTTTGCCTGCCTCGCGGCCGTTCTTTGGCATGGCTGCTGCCATTCCCTGCTATTCTCCAGTGCAGCAAACACAACATGTCGAAATGGTTGAATGGTTGGCTGCGGTGCGATTCTTGCTACAAGCTGTTTCGGTGAATTTGGGGTGGTGTGTGGTCTTTCTTCTGCGATTCGGCTCGATCGCAAGGAGACATTGCACAAACAGCTTCTGCAGATACCGAATCTTGCATGCAGTTGTTTATCAAAGATTTCCTGCAACCGCAGTTATCTCATCCTTGTCAAAAAACACATGAAAAGTCACGAAACCTAGACATGGAAAGGACTGGCAACACGGAGCAAGGGCGCCCAGAACAAGAAAAGCTTCCAAGCCCTGACCGGCATTACGTCATAGGGCGGCTCGCAGCATGGCGGCCACGGCGCGGGCGCGGTCCACGGCCGCGGCGCCAGCGGCGCCCACGCCCGCCAAGCGCATGTACGCGCCGGACCCTTCCCTGGTACACTGCGTGGTGCAGCCGCCCAGGGATGGGCACGTCGCTGGTGGGGGGCATTGGCCGTTGCCGTCCAGCGAGCGGCCTGCAGCGCCGTCCTTGGCGTCCGGACGATGCCCCCGCTGCCTGCAGCTGACAGCGACGTGCCGCTAGCCGAGGTCCTCCAGTACGCGGCGGACACGGCGCCCAGCAGGCTGCCGCTGCTTTGAGGGGTTTGCCGGGGACTTGGACATTTGACACGCGGGTGGAAAACAGGCGCGACCAAAAAAAAATGAGCCTTGTCGCACTCGGTGTCCCATTCGGTGCCCGGGAGTTTGTCGATGCCCACTTGCGTAATGTCAGCTCCACCACCACTGCAGAGTGCATGCATTTCGGCCTACGTGCTTCGGTGGTCGCCCGTGCCTTGGCGACCAGCCTGCTCTCGCTGCCACTCGCCGGCGGCCGAGCATGCCTTGACCGACCCCTACAAAAACTTGGTCGAACCTGCACAGGGACCGCGTGACCGGCGTAACAAGGTGCGGGAAAAAACAAACAAAAACAAAACCTCCCCCCGCAAAAATAACCCACAGTGCGCATGTCGGCGATTCCCCACCTCCGGGAGCCGGAGCCAGATGGTGCCTGCTCCCGTTCTTGAGACCCCCACGGCTCCAGGCGCCGCCAGCCGGGGCCCGGCGCGCGCGCAGTGCGATGAGGCGCTGTACTAGACGCTGGGATTCGTCGTTCCAGCGCCCCCCGATTTCGGCAGCCAGCACGCACAAGCGATGCGGGCCCCCGCGAGTGAGCTCGGGGTACCGTGCGAGCTTGCGTCGCTGCGCCACCGCCAGTGCGACGCCGTCCCTCTCAGGCGCTCCAGCTTGGGGGCTGCCATCGCGTCGCACGGGCGAAACTAGGGTCGCGTCGCAGCACATAGCCTCGCCACGCGCGCCAGCGCCGTGAATGACGAAGTCGAACCTGCGGCGATCATCGGCGGCCCCCAGGCGCCGTCGTATTGGCCAGCCACTGCTGTGGCGCCACTCGCCCCTCTGGCCCGATCGCCTCCCTGACAACCTGGATCCAAGCTCTCTCGGGCACAAAGCCGCGGCTCAGGCCCGTGCGCGGGCACGCCTCCCAGGTTGTCGACGACAGCGCGGCAGCCGGGCGCTCCGCCTGCTCCACACCGCGCACATCCGCGCACGTGTGAAAGGTAGGGGCAAACGCATTCGGCGCCGGAGCGCGAGGTGCATGAGGTCTGGCGCAAGCGTCGTTGCGGGGTCAGCAGGGATGGCGGCTAGCCATGCCCCTGCATGTGGACCTGCCTGGGAACGGAGCAGCGCTCGGAAGACCCGCTCTCGGAAAGAAGTGTGGAGTGCGAGAGCAGCATCCCTTTGCCAACCATTCGCCCATGCGCCGGGCTCACCACGAACCTCTTGCGGCGGCGCTGTGCGCAGACACGCCTCCCATCCGGGCCGGTGTCCCCATCCTTGCTCGTCGAGGTGGACTCGGCCTGCGTTCTGCATGTGCAGATCGTCCCGCTGCGCACTGGGCTTCCTGGTGTGACACCTTTCCTGTCATCCAGGCTCGGGCACCCGGGGCTGCTGAACGCTTGCTCAGTGCCCTCGATGGCAGTATCCCCCTGCCCTCTGCCGCCGCTGCTAACAGCGCGCGGGAGTGCGTTTGCGACCTTGGTTTCGCCGCGCCTGTGTGGCCGGCAGTCCTTGACATCGCGGCCGCTCCCCATCGCTCCCCCAGCACGAGAGGGAGGGGATGATCCTGGCAATGCCTTGCGGGGCTGGCAGCGGCGAGCCGCCCGTGCGTGCGATGAGCGCGCGTGCGAGACGCACCTTTCTGACCTTCCACCTGCGTCCCGCGCGCTGCTGCTCTCGCAAGCAAGGCCTCACTCTGCTCGCGCCTTCACCGTTTCGCCCACCCACGAGGCCGTGCGCATACCCAGTGCCCAGTTCCGTGTCCTTCTACTCCGGCGGCTGCGCCGGGCCCTCCCACTCGCTCCGCGGTCCTGCAGCTGTGGGGGTAGGCTGCCACCGGGCTGCCTGCGCCACGTCGGGGGTCCTCGCCGCGCGCGCCGCGCCGCTGGAACGAGCGGTCGCGCGTTTGCCGTGAGGGTGGCGCTCGCGTCGCGGGGAATGTGCGTGTCGCGGACATGAACATTGATGTGCCCGTCGCCGATGACCGGCAGATTGAAGTGGTCGCCAACGGGCTCCCCCTGTGGCACGGTGCGCAACTCGCCCTCGATGCCACCCTTGTGTCGCCGCTGACGCGTGCAGGGGAACCCGACCCACGGGCTGACGTCGAGCCTGGCCACTGCGTCGCCGCGGCAGCCAGGCGCAGGAGGCAAGGCATGTATCCGGAACTGGAGCGGGCACGGCGCTGCCGCCTTGTCGTGATCGGGCTTGAGGTTGGGGGGCGCTTCGGTGCTGAAGCAGCCACTTTCCTCCGCTTGCTTGCGCGCCACCGGGCTGCAACTGTCCCAGCGCATTTGCGACCCGCGGCCCGGGCAGCATGGATCTCCCGCTGGACTGCGCTGCTCGCAGTGGCGGCGCGGCGCTCCTTCGCCAGCTCCCTCCTTGAGCTGCCCCTGGCGGGCGAGGCCAACGGCGACGACAGCGAACCCGAGCTTCATGAGCTCCTCGCTGACGCGCGCTCGGAACGGCCGGTCGCTGCAAGCCGCCTCCCTGCCCGCTGACCTCTTTCCGGTGACCCCCGACGCTGTGACTTTCCGGCTGGCGGAGAAAAGGTGCGAGGAAAAAAAAAAAACCTGCTCCCTTTCGCCGCTTTGTTCTATGCCCGCCGCAGCCGTTACCTCTATTACGATGCCTTTGGGCAAGCTTGCGAGGTGCTGCAGGGCCAGCACACAGCGCTCACCCACCTACACGCGCAGCTCCAGCCCGGGGACGGCCTGTATGCGTTCGTCGACGATGTCACGTCACGTCCGGTCCAGAGCGCGCCCTCGAAGTGCTGCGCGCCGCCCAGACGTGCCTGCCGAGGCACGCAGCGGGACTGGTCGCCCTGGGCAGTCCCGTTGGCACCCGCGAGTTCGTCGCAGCAAAGCTTGAGGAAGCAAGCGTCAAACACGAGGCCTTGTTCGCCCGGTTGCCCGACGTGCAAGACCTGCAGTGTGCGTGGCTGCTGTTGCTCTTGTGCGCGGTTCCTCGCTGGACCTACCTCCTGCGCATTGTCCCGCCGGCGGATACAGTCTCCTTTGCGGAAGCGCGCGATGCTGCAGTGATTCAGTGCCTGGGCAGGCTTTCAGGGGCGGATGACGCGCTTGTCTTTACCCCGACCGGCATGCAACGGGCGCACTTCCCGCTGCGCATGGGGGGTATGGGCTGCCGTCGGCCAAGGCGCATCGGCACGCAGCATATTGGGCCTTTTGGGCGGACGCCGTCGGGGCGCTCCCCATGATTTACGCAAAATCTTGGCAGGAGCTTGTATATATGATCGAATGCCTCGTACAAGAACTTGGAAAGATCGGTTTGCATTTGAATGCATCAAAAAGCCGAATTATTACTACAGCCCACATAGACGGACCCATGTACATCAATGTTAGCGACGACATGGTCGAGGTATTGACTGCAGGCGACGTTCACAAATACTTGGGACGACATATCAGTGCAGATCCTCGATGCCGCAGTCAGACAGAACTCAAACATAGGTTCCAAGTGGGATGGGCAAAGTTTCGCAAACACCGTCATATTCTTACAAACAAACATGTGTCCATCGCATTGAGATTGAAATTTTTCGATACAGTATTGACTCCAACCGTTCTGTTTGGATTACACGTATTGCCGTTGACTCTGTCACAAATTCATACACTGGATGCATTGCAACGACGAATGCTTCGCTCTGTGGTTGGCTGGGTGCGAGTTGCAAACGAAGATTGGCACAGCACTATGAGTCGGATGAAACACAGACTGACTGCAGCGTTACACATACACCCTGTGGACACCTGGTCTCGCCAGCTTGCACGACGTCAGTACAACTTCGCTTTCCAAATGTTGCGAATTCCCAATTGGGCCGCGGCTGTTGTCAAATGGTGTCCAGAAAGCAACTGGCAAACAAATTTTGCTTTACAACTACATCGTCGACCCGGTCGCCCGCTAACGAAGTGGGATGATCGACTCCGCAGTTTTGCAGCCTGTAATTTTCCAGCGGTGAATACGTGGACTGATATTGCTGAAACAGCAAATTGGCCGCCCGCTGCAAGCCAGTACGTACAAAGCTTTAAGAATGTATAGACCGAATCGTGCCAACACTCAAGCACGCCCCCATTCCCCA